AANGTTGAAGTAATAANTATTCTAGAAGTATCTATCCATAAATTGTCTTATTTATCTATAACCTGTGCTTCTAATATGCCTTTGAAAGATTATTGTTTATACTGTTAATTTTGATGAGTGTCAAACACCGACTTTCTCCAATGTCTTTACTTGCAAATATAAGCATTCGAAAATAAAGAAATATATATTATACATCCAAGTGACGTTTCTTTTGCATTTCAGTATATTTTAGACTGAATAGATCAAGTAATGTTCACCGCTCTTAATGCCATTCGATGTGCTTATTGATTGAGCTCACGACCCGAGACCACAAATCTTTTTATACGCAATATATATACGTGATATATTGTAATCACCCTTGCGGTCCGTCGGTCCATCTGTTCATTAACATTTGGCTCGTGCTCACTCTACAGGCTACAATTCTTTACAGATTCTTCTGATTTTTATTTTGTGGGTCAATGTCATTATAAAGATGATCCCTATCAATTTTCAGAATGATCTGGAAGTTTGTCATCAAAATGTCGTTATTAACTTAGTGTATTCACTCTATTAGCCACATTGTGCAGCTTTTGCTCACTCTTCAACAATTTTTAATGGATTCTTTTGATTTTTATATAACGTAGTATGGAAGTATATTGTCATCCGTCCGTCTGTTCACAATTGGCTCATGCTCACTGTACGGCCTACAAACAATGATTTGTACTTGCAGTCAAAGCTGCTGGTGTGCGTATGTCATCTTCGCAAGGCTATCTTTTCAAACTTAGCTGAGCATGAAAAATGGTTTAATATGGCGCACAGGGTCATTTTAGATTTGTCACTCATGCATTTTTTTTTTCAGGAAGACGTAATAAAATCAGGTTCTGAAAAAGTAACTGTAGTAACGGCTTACTGGAATTTGGGAAGTTTTCAAAAGGGACCATCTAAGAATTTGGTGTTCAAGTCGAATTTGTATAAAAAGTGGATGTCAACTTTTCAATACTTGGCAAACCCATTAGTTGCGTTTGTGGATGACAAAAAATTTGCAGATCATTTACGACATCTACGAAGGAACATGGCTAATGCTACCAAAATTATCCTAATAGAGAAATCCAAGCTTTGGTCTTTTGGATTGAAGGACAAAATACACAATATCTATTCAAAACCTGGGTATCCAAAATTCTATCCAAATACTGTGCTACCAGGATATTCATGCGCTCAACACGCTAAATATGACGCTGTGCAGATGGCAATAGAGAAAAATTATTTTCATACAAATTACTTTACTTGGCTCGACATTGGTTATTTTCGCGAAAAACTAGAAAGTACTCGTCTTTTCGAGTTGATTCTCCCTCCACAATTCAATCCCAACCGTATTTCATTTACTGAAGTGGGAAGATATGAAGACATTTCTTTAAGGAAAATTGTCTACGAAAATAAAGTGTGGGTCGGAGGTGGAATGGCTTTAGGAAAATCTGAAATTTTTCTGAAATTCATCGCAGAATATAAGAAGGCAACCGAGACATTTATAAAAATGTCATTAATGAGCACGGATCAACAAGTGTTATACGGACTATATTCTCGGCAAGGGCGAAAACTCCTCAAGCCTACAATAGAATTACAAACGTATAGATCGGATGATTGGTTCCATTTAGGATTGTTGTGTCATCGCTATGCTAATAAGTAGTTACAATTGATAATGATTTTGTTGAATTGATACAACTGTTTCAAATTTTATTTCTGAAATCCCTAAATAATTCATTACTGGGAGATTTTTACTCAAGATTTCAAAGAAAATGACTATTTATTGAATTGAAAAAATAATAATTCGAACACAAAAAATAAATAAATAACTTTTTAACTCATTACACTCAATATAATACATATTAAATTTGTTATGTGTATCGAGGTCGCTGAATGCATCAATTTGCACCATTCCAATTTTCAATTAGACGTCTGTGGTACATGCAATTCCACTTAAACAACGCTTGTGATGATGTCACTAATTGCGAAATTTTCTTTAATACATAAGGTCCTTCAGTGACGTCATCAAACACGTAGATTTAGTGGAATTGCAGGAACCACAGACGTCTGATTCTCATTGAAAATCAGACTGAAACTACCATCCTGGTCGACAAGTTGCCCATTGTTTAGGACTGTACGACGGAGAAAAAAACGAGGGTGGTGAACATAGTTCGTACTCCAACTTTTTGCGCTGGGATGCCAAGACCTGCCTTTCTCTAGACAATTTCTTGCGTTTTTCAACCAGAGCTGCTTTTGCTGCTTGGTACATCTTGTTCTCTTCACGAAGTTGTTGGATTTCCTTTTGTAGATTCTGTCTTTCGATCATCAGACCGTCTGATTGGCTGCTTAAGGTTCCATCAGCGAAACTGATAGACGATGGCATGGACCCACTTTCTCCAGTTCCAAGACAAAATGTCTTTGGTGACAGTCTGAAAAGATATAATCACTTCTTTTGAAGCATTGTGAATATAATACAATCACTTGACCTTATATGGTTTGTATATAAGATATTGAGTATTTTTACTATGTTACCACATTGTTTACAGATTCACATTTTGCCAATTATTTTCGTATATTTTGTACTATTACCTTCAACATACAGCTAAGAGTTTAAGATTGTCATTGGACTGATGAAAATATCAAGCAATAAAAAAATTATCGTGTCTATGATTTTTTGAAGAAAAATGTTCAGTCCGGAATGTCATTTTCAAATGTAAATTTCCTAACCTTATATTTCTAAGGGGCCAAAGACATTCCAAGACAAACAGCATGCAATTGACAAATTTATTTTGAATGTTTGTGAAGTATGAGATAAAATTCAATTCTGAGCCCATTGTGACCACAAGGTAATGTTATGGATCATACATACGAATATTGTAATATATGATCGATGACCTAATAACATCTGAAACTAAGGAAATATTATATTTAATTGTTTGAATTATCTTGGAATTCCATGACAACGATATTCATCATTATTATTTAGTAGTTTCGACCAATAACCAGCAATATTAAAGTTGGCGGTGGGAGGGGATATATTTGGAAATTTCTATATTATAATTATATACAGCCAGAGTTAAATCCAAATGTTATTTTGGAAAATCGACTATTTTGTAAAAAGTTATAAAACTAAATAAAGTTTAGAAACCATTACTCCCTCTATAGGCATAAATGTATATTCTTTTCACATTATTAATACAAATTAATATATAAGTCAATGGCAGACAGGACTTTTAAAATGAGATCTGTATGAAACCCCAACATCAAAACTAGTATAAACTACTTTCTGAACAATTAATACACTCCGTTTTTAGTTAACCCTTTTAAAAAAATTCAGTTTCATCATAGATACCATTTTCAAGTATAATTTACGACGTTTTTGATGATGAAAATTGTGCATACTGTCCCTTTAATGTCAAAAAAAACTTTGAGACTACGTACTTTGAGTAAGAAACGATGGTGAAATACTTACATAATTGTTTCTGAAGCTACGCTACTGGTTTTCGGTGATCTCTTTTCTTCTAGAGAATCGTTAAAATCTGATACATCAGACGTGTATAAATCACCTAAAATAAAAAGATAGAATGCGTTGCAAGATAACATATGCCCACTGGCAGCTGTCAGAAATAATAAAACAGTCTTTAGTGACTAAAGTACGAATTTTCTGATATTGAAGAAATTATTTATGCTGAATAATTCCACAAAATTTTTTAAGATCAATATCAATAACCCAAATACAACAAACAATTAAAATACACAGCTCTAATCAAGGGCAAAAAACAACTTTTGACGCGTGTTTACAAAGTCAAGGGCAATAACTCAAAAAATGTTCATCAAAAATATCTCTTGTTAGAACTTGTCCGAGATCTTATCAATTCCAATGATCACACCAAGTTTCATCAGAATCGGTTGAAAACTAGCTTCTATAGTGCTCACAACCAAATTTTGACGCTTTTTTCGTAAGTTAATGGCATTAACTCAAAAACATTTCATCGAAAATGCGTCAAGTTAGAACCTGTCCGAGATCTTATCAATTTCAATGATCACACCAAGTTTCATCAGAATCGGTTGAAAACTGCAGCGTCAATCCTGCTCACAAACTATTTTTTAACAAATTTCGACGCATTTTAACAAAGTCAAGGGCAATAACTCAAAAACCGTTCATCGAATATGCGTCAAGTAAAAACTTGTCCGAGATCTTATTAATTCCAATGATCACACCAAGTTTCATCAGAATCAGTTGAAAACTTAGCTTCAATCCTGCTCACGAACTATTTTTAACAAATATTGACGCGTTTTTACAAAGTCAAGGGCAATAACTCAAAAACCGTTCATTGAAAATGCGTCAAGTTAGAACTTGTCCGAGATCTTATTAATTCCAATGATCACACCAAGTTTCATCAGAATCGGTTGAAAACTGTAGCTTCAATCCTGCTCACGAACTATTCTTAACAAATTTCAACACGTTTTAACAAAGTCAAGGGCAATAACTCAAACACCGTTCATCGAAAATGCGTCAAGTTAGAACTTGTCCGAGATCTTATCAATTCCAATGATCACACCAAGTTTCATCAGAATAGGTTGAAAACTGTAGCTTCAATCCTGCTCACGAACTATTTTTAACAAATTTAGACGCGTTTTAACAAAGTCAAGGGCAATAACTCAAAAAAAGTTCATCGAAAATGCGTCAAGTTAGAACTTGTCCGAGATCTTATGAATTCCAATGATCACACCAAGTTTCATCAGAATCGGATGAAAACTGTAGCTTCAATCCTGCTCACGAACAATTTTTAACAAATTTCAAGGCGTTCTAAGTCAAGGGCAATATCTCAAAAACCGTTCATCGAAAATATGTCAAATT